CTTTTCTTTTTCTACCTCTTTTGTGTTCCATTTTAGCTCTCCTCTTTCCCTTTCCCTTCTTTTCTCTCTTTTTTTTTTTTTTTTGGCGAGAAGGGGGGGGGGGTCTGGGGGGGCAGAGGCAAAGGCCTTTCTCCGCGATCTTGGGGGGGGGGGTAGTGAGCACCTTTTTTTTTTTGGCCCTCGAAATTTTAACAATTTGCACCACCCCCCCCCCCCCCCCCCCCCCCCCCCCATCCCCCCTACTAGATCCGCCACTGCCTGTAGTTTCATCCCTAGCTAGCTGGTTAAGCTGAATATGGATTATCCAGTCGTTTCATTCATTAAGTATAATTATACTTGTATCAGGGATAATGAGAGTACATCCCTGTTTGTTTTGACAATGTATACGTGTGGACTAGAGTACGGACATTCGGTGCGGCAGGAGGACTATTGGTGCGAGACCTCTTCAGCACAGATTGTCCGTCAGACATTTGAGGCGCGCACGGAATGTCCGACACGGACATTCTGCGCGGATAAAATCCGCACCGATCGTCCGCTCTCGATCGATCTCTAATAGTCGGACGATCGGTGCGGGTTACATTCTACGCGGTCACACCGGCCGAAATCGCGGGGGGGGGGGGGGGCAGGGGGGGGGGGGGACTTCAACTGTTATGGTCAATGTTTGCCAAGTACACCTCTACCTAGTGGATCTTAGGGGGGGGGGGTCACGGCCCTCTCTTTTGCTTGTCATAGAATTATGGTGTATATATATAGAACCCCTATTCAGCTAGAGCTGTTAGATATTTGACTTCCACCGGCTTCTTCTTTATCCTATTCAGGGTTTTCTTTTTTAGTCAGTGATATTATTGACTTGCCAAAAATCTTTTAAATTCAGAACGAGACCCCCCTCCCGGCAAAAAATAAATATAGCCTATAGATCTATATCATCTGTTTTTATAACAAGTGTCTTTCAGAAAAATTAGTTATCAAAACAATTTTTTTTCTTCAATTACTAAATCTATCTCTTTCCGACTCCACCATCTACATTAGAAGTTAATATGAAGAAAATAATCAGAGATTTTAAATGAAGCACAGCATGTCTTGCGGATAGGCGCTCGACCAGCTACATAGGCTACGCCCTATATATAGTGCTCTTTTTTCATTTTTTTTTTTTAAATCTCTCAAATATAAATCGATGTTCAACCCCTTTTCATTTCACTAGAAGTATACATTGTTAATGTTATTGTTTTAATAAAAGGAGAGGAACTGAGGGAGCGGGCCGGGGGGGGGGTGAAAGATAATAAGAGAGCTGGGAGAGAGAGAGGGGGAGATAAAGAGAGAGAGAGAGAGAGAGAGAGAGAGAGGCGGAAAGAGAACAAGTAAAGAGAATCCAATATCAAATAAAGTTAGTAGTATGAAGAAAAAAGTCGATCCACATAATTATTACAATTAATTTAAAATGGATTCGGGGGCCCGATATTAAAAATTGGGCAATTATATAATTATTATTGTGGCTGATGTTTGAGAAAGAGGATAAAAGCACTTAATGTCAATAAATTCTCTGCCTCCCCCTCCAACAGAAAGAATTTCACCCAAGTGTTGCCATGTCAGGAATTCACGTTTAATCCCCTTAGTAATCCTACTGAAAAAAGTGCTGAACGAGCTCCGCTTTTAAGTTAATACCCTTTTTGAATTAGGTACTCTTTTAAAGTCCTTGATGCTATGGCTGGGAAAACACTGGCAGGCGCGGATCCAGGGGGCCGAGCGGGCCTTGCCCCCCCCCCCCCCCCTGCAAAAAAAAAAGAGAGAGAAGAAAGGAAAAGAAGAGAAAGGGAAAGAGGAGAGAAAGGGAAAGAAAGAAGAGAAGAAGAAAAGAAAAGGGGGAAGAAGGAGATCGGGGGAGGGGGGGGGGGGCGAAAGGGCCTTGCCTCCAAGGCTGTTGCCCCCCCCCCCCTAATAAAAAAAATAAGATAGAAGGAAGGAAAGAGAAAGAAAAAAAGGAAAAGAGGAGATACTGGCGTACTGATACGGGGAGGAGGGGGGCTTGGGGACATCTAATGCTGAAATGACATAATTTCCGAGATTTACAGCCATTACGGCGGGGATCGAGAGCCTGGACCCCCCCCCCCCCCCCCCTTAAAAAAAAGTATATTAAAGAGAAATAAAAAAAGAAAGAATAATTAACTGCCAGTGTCAACAAATAATGAGGCATCAAAATATGCTCATCTGATGATAATTTAATGTATAAAACCCCTGAGCTTCTGGGGGCTCCGCCCCCTGGACCCAACACCAATTTGTGTCCTGCCAATGTCGAAAGGTATAAGAATATGTTCATCTGACAGTAATTAAATCCCCTACCCCCTGTTCGGTTGTATTAAGCACATTTTTTGTTTTGCTCTCTAAAATTAGAAAAATAGAAAATGAGCCCCCCCCCCCCCTTGGCACACAAGGGGGGGGGGCTTGAGCGCCAGGGGGGAGGGGGGCTCATCTCCCAAAAAAGGTAAAAGGTGTTTGAACACGTTTTTTTCCGGGGGGGGCCCTGGATCCCCCACTGGTGTTTTACATGGTCATTCCAGTCAAGTTTTTCATTGATATATTCACCAAGGAACTTTGTACATGTCTTTCTCGCTGTAGAAAAAAACACATCTATTTTATTATTATTGTGGTGGGCCAGTTAATGAGTTGAAGAAGACAAGTTCGAATATAAATGAAAACACAAGAAGCTCGGAATTACAGTTGAAGTCCACTTTATTAAATATATAAGTCAGCCGAAGCTCCAATCGTTGCAAACGAAGAGTATTATTATTATTATATAAACATTGTAAATAAGCTGCTTCTCTCAGAGGCTGGGCGGCCCTATTGATCGTAACTAGCAGCACATCCTACTAAACATGTTACAGGAATGAAATAAACTCACCACAAAATCCCGCACATGGCATATAGTACTACAGCACCCGAAGAGTTTTAGATATCCCGCGATATACCCAGCCAACCAGGAGGACCCTTACGCAGCCAACCAATTACAAGACGGGATACATACAATTACCCTTAGGTCATCCAACCAATTAAAAGAGGAGTTATACCTTTAATTAATTATAACCAATGACAGAGCATCATAGATACAAGTAATTTGAACTAGTCACCGACAAAAATGGGAGGAGTCTATCTCTTCGCGAGAATGTCGCGTCACTGGCAAAACAGTCTATTGTCTAACGTGTTATTGGAAATGAACACCTGTACATCTTGATGCAGGAATTCATTTCCAACGTGCGTATCGAAATGAACACTTTAATCTAATGCAAGAATTCAAAACCAGGGGTTGTTTACCAGTTCCCGGCATACTATTGGAAACATAATTAATGCTATTTAACTTTTAGGTGTATACCAAGTCAAACTAATAATCGTACCATTAATCAACCCAGCCCGGCTCTTCTATGGCTCTAGCGCCCCCTTTAGCCACAAATCGCCCCTACTAAAATGATCTTTCACCTGGAGATCGCACAAAATTGAGATAAAATATTAGATTACCAACTGGGAATCATTTAACCAAGCAATACATATCTTTGTTGCTTTAAAGCACAATTTTGTCAATATACCATCTACACAGCATATTTGGGCTGCATTAACAAACACTTCAATAACAAGAAGAAAAACAAACAAAAAATTCAAAAAAAATACACAAGAATGACAGCTAACATCCTCTTTGCAATGTCAATTACTGATTACCTATGCATAATTACATTAAACAACAACATCTATCTGTTTTAAACCAATCGACCAGGAAGACCCACGAACGCCATGTCTTGCGCGCCCCGTAAGTGCAACCCAGCCAACAGAATATAATGTCAGGATGATGTCATGCCCTTCCTCTTCATTGGAGCTGGATATCCCTAGACCTCCAAATCAAAGGCAAGCAAAAACATCATCCCTCGATCTTAACTGCTCCCAAATATGGAAAGGTATAACCAGAACAAAAACGACAATACAATGACATCGCGCAAGGTCAACTGGTAATTGTAATAAACAATTTAACACAACCAATGACATATGATACACAAATCTACAGATCACCCGGTAACCACTATACAAACAACCTACATGCATAATTATATTCCCTAATACCACTCTGTCCTCAAAGAGTCATCATGAGAACCAAACATCTCACTGGATGCAAGACATGCCTTATTATATATATATATATACATACAATGATATACCTACAATTAACACCTATTCTCATAACCCTGCATAATATATTGATCTAAAAATCCCCAGCTTCAACTGCAACCAGCAGTGTGTAATCATCAAATCGAATCGACTCGTAACTAACATTACATTACATCACGTATGATATATATGCAATAATTAATGTCTACTAAATGTAATGTAGACTCCAACCGCTTATTTTTTTATATTTTTTTATATACAGTTACCCCAAAAAAATAACAGTAAGTGCCAACTTGGAACAGGATGGCTTTAAAAAAAAACGAAACATCTGGCAACAATAATCTGGTACATCGCAAATATATGAATGATATCAGGAAATACATCATACAGGACAACTAATGGAGCTGGATATCCCAAGACCTCCACAACGTACTCCGTATGATGTCACCCTCTATCTTTACAATATAAAATACGTGTAAACCAATCTATAAGTTTCACACCAACATATTTACACATGAACTCTGATATACTGAATTCCTAACTACATATTCATATCGGTTATTTTGATTTCTAAAAAAAAAACATATTTTCAGCGAAAACATTGGAATCATGAATCAAATCAAAATATACATGTATCTAACACCAAAAAGTCGATTGAAAAATTTACAAGCCAGTTTGACCGTCCGGGCATAACCGTGCATCCCCAGAGAGTTCAGATGCACTCCGTCAAGACTGTATCTGCATGGGTGCTTGTAGGCCTCTATGAGGCCACACCCAGACACAGTCCCGACGGAACACCTCACCCTCCCCCAACTTGTTGAATAAACAAACTCGTTGGTTGTACTCCTCCAGGGATACACGGCTACCCCGGAACACATTTGTCCGTGGGAGCACCGGGAGGATAACGGTCACCAAGGGCTTTACCCCCCGGCGACCCAACTCCTCCAAGAACTCCCACAGAGCAAAACAAATCATTGGTCCCCATGTCCAAGATAAGTACATCTGGACATCAGTGAGGACTGGATGTAATTGAGATAATATTCTCGTCTGGAATGTATCCTGTCGAAGGATAATCCTCCCTGGCCAAAACACTCGACCCTCAAATGCCCTGATCTATTGGGACTCGCAAAGTGCCATGCACTCTACCTGTGAGACGTCTCACAAAACTATGACCAAATAACAGGTATTTCATGAAAATAGTAAAAAAAACATCGTTAGGAGCGCCCAGCCTCTAAAAAAAATGCTTATCCAAAACAAGTGACCAGATGTATAGTCAAAGAAGGAATTATAACATCAAACATTTTTTTCCAATAACAGAAAAAAAATTTGAATTACATTATCTAACCGATTTGGGTAGACCATATGGATTTGAACGTTTGCCTTGTGTGGCACGCGCCGAACAGTGAGGAGGAGGAGCGTCCCTAGTAATAGTTACCCCACTTCTGGCTTGTTGTATATTAGGAAACTTTAACCTGACCTCATATTCCTCTTCGGAACTACTTGTATCCTCACTACGAACATGAACATCTGGTTCATCACCAAAGGGTGACATCCTTAATAAAGTATGATGCACCATTCTGGCAGGACCGCCATGCATTGGGCGAATCCTAAATACATCTTCATGTTCATTAATCCAAACTACAACAAAAGGATCTTTCATATAAGTATCCTTAACTTTATGACGACCTGGAAAAGCACATTGCTTAAGGTATACTACAGAACCAACACTTGGTTGAATAGGAGGTACATGTATGCCTCTATCATAACACTTCTTATTACGCTTAGCTACAGTCTTAACATTATCTTCTACTATGCTCTTAGCTCGGAAATAAAACTCCGCTTGAGTCTCCACAAAGTGTTGATCCCAATCAATTAAATTTTTACCTAATAAAAAATCTAAAGGAATGCTAGCAGGCCTCCCAAACATTAGTGAATATGGAGTAGCCCGTGTAGAAGTATGAGGGGTGGTGTTATATACAAAAACCAAATGTGGCAATAATTCTGGCCATTTGTGCCTGTCTTGGACACTCAAGGACTTAATTAACCCGAAAAGTGTACAGTTAAATCGCTCTGCTTGAGCATTACCTTGCGGATGATAGGGGGTAGTATGGGACTTCCTTATACCATACAACTTGCATAACTCTGCAATAATCAAAGATTCAAAATTCCTACCTTGATCACTATGAATCCTATTTGGGATACCAAACTTAAAAAACCAATGCTCCTGTAATACTTTGGCTGCAGTGGTGGCCTTCTGATCTTTACAAGGCACTGCCTGAGTAAACTTAGAATACACATCCGTTATAACTAAAACATCCTCAAAACCACCTTTACCTTTATCTATTTTAACAAAATCTATCGCGACTACTTCCAATGGACTAAATGCCAAAAGATGTCTAAGGGGTGTTCTTAATTTGGGTTATCTCTCTTTTGTGATGCAACAATGTTTACATCGAGCGACGTGTTTAGCTACATCCCTCGACATTCCCGACCAAAAAACTTTTCGACGTAATAACGCATAAGTTCTCTCTCTTCTTTGATGCCCCCAAACTGAATGGGCTTTTACCAGAACTTCTTCATGCAAACAATCGGGTAATAGTATTTGGGTAATCTTTCCCAAAATAGGATCTGAGATATGTCAAACTAATAAATTGTCTTCTACGTCTATACAGGACCACTGCTTAAGGAGTTGTTTCACTCTTGGTGATTCGGATGCGGATGGAGCCTAGTATTCCCCAGGTTTCCAACGATACTCCACACGCGCCTAAATACAACCAAGCACAGAGTCCTCCCTCTGCATTAGCCCTAACTTAATGTTACCTAGAGAAGGAAATAAACTAGGAGGGTTGGAAGGGGGTGTGAGTGGTTCTACACGATCCTGCTGAATTCTAAAAATAGATGAATGCAAAACTTCTTTTGTAATATCATCATGATTGACAATTGGATACTCTGGGTACCGACTAAGGGCATCAGCACACCTATTCTTAACACTTGATCTAAACTTAATCCAAAATTAAAAGGTGCCAACTGGGCTACCCAACGTATCTCGGTAGCCCCGGATTGTTATCCGTAAATATTACAAATGGGACTCCTAATAAGTGATCTCTAAACTTGTCCACTACTGCCCACTTTAATGCTAACAACTCTAATTTAAATGAACTTAAATCTGGGTATTTCTTTTCTGTTTCTTTTAATTGCCTACTAGCATATGCTATGGGATGACGCCTTCCATCCTCCCCTACTTGTGATAAGCAAGCCCCTAAACCTTTCAGGGAAGCATCAACTTCTAAAACAAAACTTTTTGAAAAATCCGGATAACTCAAAACTGGTGCCTGAATCAATTTTTTTTGAGCAAATTACATGAATCGTTCATTAGAGCATTCCACTCAAACTTAGGTAGTTTTCCCTTCTTTCCTTTTACTAAAGGGGGAATTAACTGAAACAATGGTACAGCTATCTTAGCAAAATTATTAACAAAATGTCTATAATATCCAGCTAATCCTAAAAATGAACGTAACTGATCAGCATTTTGAGGGATAGGCCAATTTTGAATTTTGACAATTTTGCTCTAATCCACTCGAATGCCACTAGCATCTACTACATGCCCCAAGTAATGAATCCTATCTTGAAATAGAAAACATTTTTTACCTTTCACTTTCAACCCAAATTCATCTAATTTTGCAAACACTTTGTCCAAACGCGAAATCTGTTCATCATTACACCATTACATTTCAATCATAATATTTGCCTTACGTACATTTGACACGGATCATTGTTGTTTTGCAAACATAATATTAAGATATAACACTCAGACATATTTTACAAGAACAGAAATACAAAAACAAACATTGGTACATTAAATGCGATATATAACGTGTAAAAATTCACTTCCATTATTGGTATTGCAACTTTTCTTCAATTAAGTTAAGTACTTTTAGCTGTCTTAATTTAAATGAAAAAGGGAACATATATCATCAAGGCACTCTTTAGGTAAAATGAGGTGCTCTGTCATAGACAGACTACCTATTGATTTTGTCAGAATTTTCTTTCTTTCTTTCTTTTTTTTATTTCTCCGCACTTTTTGTGCTGATGATTACTCAAAATCGGTAAGGTCAATTTCTTTCAATTTTGGCACAGTCATAGGTCCTTGTTATAAGACGTATCCAAAACATTTTCAAGTTCATCAGATTATCGTGATGTCATCCAGGCGCCATTTTGTGAAATTTTCTAAAAATCAACTCATGATCATATCTTCATTACGGAAAGTAATTTCTCATTCATATTTATCATGAATAAGGTCAATATCCGTCCAGTCAATTCCAGGTCAATAAACACGTGCGACATCAGACACCCCCATCTCATTTCTCCAATACTTAAAGCTTTAATGACCTCATGACCTTTGTGATGACTTTGTGACCTCCTGTCCTTTGACCCTTTCATGCAGAGCTCTCATTCAGGTCACCGTCGATGTCAAAGTCATACGGGTTGGAGGGGTTCCTCTCGTAGTACCCTGCCCTGGCCACTGCAAGGAGCTTGGCAGCCTCAGACTTTCCTGTCTCCACCACCATGGATCCAAATAGGCTCTTTTCATCCTTGAGGAGGACATAGGGTTCATCAAACTCTATGATACGACCCTGGTCCAGCACCTAAAATCGAAAAAGACAAATAAAGCGGAGTACATGACAGATTTTTTAATAGAGCATAACTTGCCTCTAGCTGTTGTTGTTGTTGTTGTTGTTATTATTATTATTATTTATTATTATTATCGCTGTGGTCAAACTAGGACAAGGTCCCTTGTTTGACCTTCAGGCAGAAATGCAGAGGGTGGGATCATAGATGTGATAAAGAGTAATCCCCACAGTCTTGCTACAGATGGGAGCACTCACATTGAAGACTACAAACTGTACCCTCTGGTTGTGAAATATTTCGCTGAATCCCTCAGGCGTGTCTATACCACATTGATGTCTATGGTCGAGATTAAACAGTCTACTGCAGCCAAGATTTTTGAAAGACTGGATCTGGATCTGGAATAGTGCTGTAAGTCAGACGCTATGTTCATGTTCGGTTCGGTTCGGCAGAGTTCGGCAATTTTTAACCGAACTTGGTTCGGTTCGGGGTTCGGTAATATTATAGCAATCAGCATTATAGCCACGGCAGTCGGCACTGGGCAGGCCGGCCGGCCGGGCCCGACCAGCACGTAGGACTTCTGCCCACTCCTGATGAAAAACACTGCTTCCGACAAGCATGATTTTCACATTAGAAAAACTGCTCTAAACGTAATTATTTGTGAAGAAAAGTACTACTTACATCTGTATTTCCGTCTTGAATCGTGTTTTATTTTCAATTTTAAAAGAATCATGTTTTCAATTTGTCAATAAATAATATTTTTAAAAGATTTTCCGAGACGGTTGTTGTCTGATATTAGAGTCATGAAAGCTGCCATCTTGAATAGCAACTCAGGCTCGTCGATAACTGTTTTTTATAAGTGTTTATTTTCAATAGGAAAAATATAAAATCCCTATTTTTCCTAAATAAATACCATACTATAATATATATTTATTTCATTATTTATATTGTAAAATTTGTCTGAATGGGTTTGAGCTGAACTTGTTTTGATCAGCGCCTAGATCACGCATATTGTTTATGGCTTGCGATCGCGACGCAGCAGAGGTCAGGATTTGGGATTTAAATGGCGCCAGTGAAGTCGCTCCCACAACTGGATAGGCATAAATCACAAAGGCGGAAAATGGGAAAAAAGTAAATATAAAATGAGCAATCATGACATGAAGATTACGTACAAAATGACAAGTTTATTAGCTTGCGAAAACATTAAAAATTTTCTGCCGAACATCCGAACCAGGCCTTTGTGTTCGGTTCGGTTCGGTTCGGTTCGGTTCGGTTTGGAAGTGCCATGTTCGGCGAACTTCCATTCGGTTTGGCTGTTCGGCTACAGCACTAATCTGGAACTATCCAAAAGAGGTATCAGCTGGAGCTGTTTGTCATTTGATGCTGACAATACAAATGTCATGCAAGGTACAAAGTCTGGGTTACATGTAGCATATCATCTGAAACAAGCACATGAAGACATCTACATGGTTGGTTGTGCATGCCATTTGATGAACATTGCAGCTGAAAAGGCTGCAAAATCACTGCCAGTGGACATTGAAGAGCTGCTAGTGGATGTTCACTTCTACCTTGAGGAATAGCAGCAAGAGGAAGTCAACATTGAAAGAATTTCAATATTTTCATGATGTAGAGGTACAGACATCATAAAGCATGTGATAGCACACGGTGGCTTTCCTTAGACTTGTGCATCAATCGACTTCTTCAACAGTGGCCTGCATTGGTGGCATTCTTCTAGAAGGAAGTATCTGGAACTGCACAGACAAAAATCCAGAGAAAGAGAAGGGCATCTTCATCATCAGCACCTGCCCAAAAAAGCCAAATCAACTTAACCTATCATATCAGGAAAAAAGAACAATGCAGGAGTTACGTCTCTATCTGTCAGATGCATCAACCACATTCAGATCCTCTATCACATCCAAGAAGGAAGACCTAAAGAAAGGAGTATCTACACTTATTAGTTCTAAGAAGGTTAACACTGCATTCTGTGCATTCAAGATTTAATTTTTAATGCCAGTTTTCAAATTTACAGTTATGTTCTTGCTATTATTGTTATTATTATTATTGTTTGTACCCTCTTGTATCCTTGAATGTATGTATATATTGTTTATGTTGCTTGTATATATGTATGTCACTCACCAGTGGAGGACAAATTTCTGTATTGTTTAAATCAGACAATAAATTATCTTGAATCTTGTGTTACCAAGGAAACTGCTGTCATGAAAAGCAAACCGGCTCAACCTCCTATATTGTTTTTCATGAAGAATCCACCAGTAGTAGCCTTGACAGTTGCATCCACAAATAAGTCTAAAGTGAAAGGTGCAAGGAAAGCAGGGATACATGTAGGAGCTGGAAAACTTGTGGCTGCAAAAGTAAGCTTCATGCATTTTGTATATTTTATGTTTAATGATGCTGCCTATTACCAGTATGTATGAATGTATCTACTGGTACATGTAGTATATTTATCCTCTTATATGTCGTGTATTTGATGTTTACATGTATAATGCTGTATTTTAATCATCATGATGTATTTTACCTTGTAAATGACCTGCAATTCAGCTACGGCTGCAAGAACGTCATGTTGAATAAACCCTTATTGAATTGAATTGAGAAAAAAGTGAGCAGTGGTACCACCAAGGGCAGTGTTTCAGTAAAGAAAAGTAATCCAGCTACATGTTAACCCTCTAAATCATCGAAGGGAAAGACCTCCATCTAAATCTGTGCAAGGTACAAAGAGAAAACAGAAAGACAGACAGACATCCAGAGTTGATTCCAACAAGGAAGCATCTTCATCTAAATCTGTGCAAGGTACAAAGAGAAAACAGACAGATCAATGCAACTGGAGAAGGAAAAGCAAGGAAAACTAAAGAGAAGAAAATTGACTCTATTATAAAGCCAAAGACGAGACCTCAACGAGTTGTGGAAGCACTCAGTTCAGACAGTACAAAGCTTTACTGTCTGTTTTTATCTGCATCCAAACCAGCAACCTACAAAGATCTTCAGGAGCAAAAGAAGATTGCAGAGGGGGAGGTAGCTGGTACCTCCAGTTCAAAATAACAGCCTTTTCACACAGGTGTAAAATTCGTTAAAGCTGATTAGATTAAAGAGCTTTAAACTAAACAGCTTTAGATACATCATTTACACACAGACAATTTCGGTGCGGTCGTTTGAGATTCACTGCTCTTTAAACGCTCAGTAGGGCCATTGCACATTTAAGAGCAGTGCCCGGTCTTAGCTCCGCCCAGTTAAGGACGTATATCCGTTCAGATACAAAATATCTTGCTCTCTCTGCGTATCTGCAGCCTGCTCTGACCGGCGAATAGGTCGCAGCTTCGTATCTGTCCGAACATTGTATAAACGACGTTCACAAAGGGAAAATTTACCTTAACATTATCTTAACTGGGCTATTTCAGACCAGGTTTTTACTAATATTTACTAATATCTTGGCCGTTTCACTGCCGATCGCTGCGAAAATTTGCGTACATGTCAAGTAAAGTGTATAGAATACTATGGCAATTTCAATTTTTTGAAAAAACCACTCATTTGCATATTTATGGTAATTTATGCAAATAAGGTAATAAAATTCACATTTTTGCCAATAAATCATACATTATTCATATTTAAGCATTCTTTTTCACTACATATATTTTTAGACCATTTGGAATATCACAGGGGGGGGTCAAATTTACCCCCCCCCCCCCCCCCCCCAGTTAATGTAGGGTTAAAGCTGTTAGTTAAACAACTTTAAACTAATCAGCTCTAGATATGATGAATTTTACCCCTGTGTGAAAAGGCTGTAAGATTGGTATGGATTTCAGAGTATTATTTCCTTTTGTTCAGACAATAAGTTAAGTTTTCAAGTTCTGTTTTACCTTGGACCATGTATGGAAGCCACTGATGAAAAAATGCTGGGAGTGTTTTTGTTGCAAACTGACTCCGAAATCGACTTATTTTGTGCCAAAGGGGTAATGTAATTTTGGGGGTCAGTCTGTTGTCGGTCTGGGGTTGGTCTGGAGCAGAATACAATACTCACCAAGACACGGTCACTATCCATGATGGTATTGAGTCTATGGGCAATGGTCAGCACTGTACACTGCCTGAACTTCTTCCTAATGGTCAGTTGAACCAACTGGTCAGTCCTGTAAAGAAAACACATTCAAGACATATAATTCAGTGTTACCAAGGGGGACTATTCAGGTATTCAAACTATTACAGTTGTGATATACAGATCAGTCAAAAACCTATTGTGTTTTTTACAACCCGCAGATCATACAAAATGCAATTACCGCCCAAAGACCTCAAGAAATACCCCCTGTGAGGGAAGTTTTCCAAACAAATTGTTCTGCTGAATCTAAAAGGCTTGCCACACTCCACCCAGGTGTAATAAATGGGTAGCTGGCAGGAAGAAATTTCTTGAATGCTTGATTGCTTTCTCATGGTAGCAGGGCTAAAGCCGGAGTAATAATAAGATTGCAGGGCCCTCAGGGAGAACAAATTGTGACGAGGCTTCCTGGAAAAAAAGACATATTTATTGTTATTATTATTATTACATGTGCACGAAAAAACATATTGTCTTTGCATTGTATATTCACCTAGGGTCTACATTAGCCGTGGCTTCGTCTACAATGAGGATCTTATTCTGATGTAATACCGCCCTCGCTAGGCAGACCAGCTGCCTCTGTCCGACGCTGAAGTTTGTCCCTCCCTCGGACATTGCCATCTCCAGTTTCTCTGAGTTTTCTTCCACGACAGGCTTGAGCTGGACCTGGACAATTCATCACAAGGCCGGGTTAACAAAATGATATAATTGAGATAGAATAAAATGAAATAATTAGGAAATTGGATGGAAAATCAACACTAAGGTCTGCATGATGACAACCCTCCACCCTCCCCCCCCCCCTAAAAAAAAAATACCCTCAAGGACGAGTACTCCTAAACATATCGTCCGCCGGCTGGCAGAAGGGCGTTAATTATTTGCATTTAAAGTTTTGTTTTATAATTAAACTACTTTCCGTCCCGAAAATTGGTTTAAAACTTAAAACACTAATAGAAATGTTATAGTAGAACACGGCCACATTTTTTTTTTGGAAATAAGTAAGTTTTATAAAAGTTTGAGGCAATTTAGGGCTAACGCCCTTCTGCTTAATGCTTCATTTTTTACCTGAAATTCAAGCTTATGCCCTTCTGTCAGCCAGGCGACGATATGTATATTGTAGCCCCTTAGGACATCTAATCCAACTGAGTGTGATCTTCTCATAACTCTATGAGGGGACAGTTGGTCACAGTGAGTAGAGGGGGGGGGGGGGGCGGGGGTTGCCAATATCACACATGACCAACAAGTTAACTATTTGTTCTATTTGTATACCATCAACAGGGCTTAAATTAATCCAAGGCCACCAAGACCATGGTCGTGGATGCCCTTTTGATTGGCCTCAATGCCCCTCTTATTGGCCTTGGAGATTTTTTGTGCCCTTTCCAATTCTTCCTATTTGTGCTGTAATACAGGAATGTGCCCTAAAAATATTGAAATTTAAGGCCTGCATCAAACCTATCTCAGTGGCCATTGGAAATCTCTATGATAGTCATGTACATGTATGTTGAGAACATGTAGTACCGGTAGTCATGTATTTGTCTCCCGAGAGAGAGAGAGAGAGAGAGAGAGAAATGTGTGTTGTAGAACTTGTCTAGAAAAGCCACCTGTCTACAGTGACCACTTCCTCTGTTTTCCTTGGCAGGTCTCAATAGACAAGTTTGACTGTACTTGTAATTTGAAATTGGCTCTCATACAATCATGTACCACACAAATCTTATGTATTTTTATTGTGCAAATGCTACTTTTTTATATCCACAATTGTCATGTGTTTCCTTGTAATCCATCTGTACTGGAAAACCAACTTGTGTATGGTAACAATAAATAAAGAAATAATAAAATGTTGCAAGCTCTTCATCCTACCTCTTCCAGTGCATTCCACATATCCTCATCTGTGTGATGGTTGAATGGGTCTAGGTTCTTCCTGAGGGTTCCACTAAATAACACAGGATCCTAAGAAACATTAAGAGGACATGGTTTCCGTGGCAATGACCTTGAAAATTTCTTCACATATACAGTGATTCCCAGTGCTGTTACGTGTACATGTGTATATCAAAGTAATGTAGACATAATAATTCTAAGTAGCTCTGAATGAAATGATGATTTGTCTCTTTTAAAAGAAAGAGTAAATAAAACTGAATGTATAATAGACTGTACAAAAAGTAAGAAAGAAAATGTCATTCTGTACAAGAAACTAATACCAACATTTGCATTTGGCTACATGTACTTGACGCTCTTACTTTGGAACTAGCACCAAAGGTGCTATGCATTATCAACAACTCTGGTTTTTTTAATTTAAATTATGTTATTATTATCAAGTATTTGGCATCACCTGTGCCTGGGAGGGGAAAAGCGAACTGAATCACTGTGACCCTCGGGTCTCTCCTCCCAGTATAACTCATTGGGGGTGTGCAGGTGACCCATCAATTACACCGGGGTTTCCCCTACTCTTACACAAATAGTGCAGTGGGTTCTTAACATGCACAGGTGGTGACTCTCCTCTACACGAGGCCTCCATTTAACATCCTAACTGAGGGACAGAGTGTTTACCACTGTAACCCAGTCTGCATCTTTGAAACATGGAAGGGGCACGTCAACATCACGCAGGCTTCAGTCATCTGCCTTGGTTGGTTTTCAGTCAACAAGCAGAAGCTTTACTTACTGAGCCAACATATTAATGAATCATAATTTCAACTATATATTGATCTTTCCTTCTTAAACCGAGAATCTCTCAACACAGTCTCACCTGGGGTATAAATGATATGCGTTTCCTCAAGGCATGGAGACCGATTTCTGTGATGGTGACACCGTCGATCTTTAGGATTCCCCTGGGCTCCGTCAACCTCATGAGGGCAGCCATCAGAGAACTTTTACCTGCTCCTGTCCTACCGACGATACCAACCTATTGCCAAATATACACCAAAATAACGGTTGGAAAAATACAAGCATAACCCTGGACATAAATGTACACCAAGAATTATAGTCATTGGTGTTACGTTGTCAGTTGATTTATATACCAACATAACCAAAATTAATAGTTATAGAGAGAACTTTTACCTGCTCCCGTCCTGTCGACAATACCAACCTAACACCAAACATAAACAATTAGGTGTAAGATTGATATTAATCTAACACCGCATATACACCAAGAATAATTGTCATTAGGCGTTTGATGTGCACTACCGTATAACACCATCTTAAACCCAGAATCATGGTCATCGTTGTTAAGATAATACCTGTCTAACTCCAAAAGTAAAGCAAGGATAATAAACATAGACAAAGGGTTTATTGCTTCACATTTCCGTATCACACAGACAAGTGAGTTCACTCAAGGGCTTTGTTATTACTTGCCATTTATTTACTTGACAAAAATGGTTTCAATTTTTCTGCTGTGGTTTATCCAGGTGGTTTACAGCATCAAATGTGAACAAGGCCTTTCTAAGGTTTTTTGATTTACTGACCTTCTCCTCTGCTCGTATAGAGCATCTGAGGTTCTTGAGGACTAGAGGTCCATCGTCGCTGTAGGAGACCGAGACGTCTTCAAACGTGATGATGCCATGCTTCGGCCAATCAGCATCAGGTTCGTTCTCCTTCTCTAGAGAAGCTTCTGGCTTCAGCTGCGAGTATTCTATAACCCTCTCTGTTGAGGTCATCTGAGAGAGAGAGAGAGAGGGACAGAGAGTCAAACATTGATAAATGATAGACTTTGAATGTATACATAATGCCTCTCTGAAGTAAAGAAATTCTGTCTCTGAATGATTTATTCTATAAAAATCATGGCATTCTGGTTCTTTCTCATTTTCCAGAGGAAATTAGGTTCAGCCAGGAGGAGGGTTCTATAACACCGCCATCAAGGACATCTGAGCAAGAGACAGAACTAAGCATTGATGAAATAAGGAAAGCATATGTCTATGAATAATATGATCTATGAAAATAATGACAATCCGGTAGATTCTTCTTCTCGATAGGGGCTTCAGGCTTCAGGCTGGAATATTCTATGACCCGCTCTCTTCAGGTCACCTGAGAGAAAGAGATTTAAACATTGACACATGGGTTTGTATAGTCTACTACATATGTCATTCAATAAAATTCAGAAGTGAGACTAGTACCCCATTCACAGTGGCCTCAAACACCGCGACAGCAGCGGGACTGTCCCGCTGCTGTCGCGGTGTTGTCTTCAGTGTGAAGGCTCGGACCCGTTATAAACGGGATAACACCGCCTCGCGATAACGCCGCGACAAACTATCGCTAGGTTCGCCTAGCTACAGCAGCGGGACAGTCCCGCTGCTGTCGCGGTGTTTACTCAGTGTGAAGGCTCTCCGCTATAACACCGCGACAAACACGTGTGATTTGTTTACTTACCTATCACTGACCTCTTTTCTCCAGCAATGGGGAACACAAAGTGAAATAGAAATAAAGTAACCAGTGGATTCAAATTGATTTTATTATTATGTAGATATTATAATTATCCAAATAAAAATATTTCACACTTCAAAAAATTAAAATATTCTGACTGGAAGCAATAAAAATGCTAGTTTTTTTAAAAAGTAATATGATCGAGGATACAAAAAGCAACTTGACATGTTTACCTTTTGCGCGCAATTTCAAGCAATCGAAAACCCCGCGCTGAAGTATTTCCGGTCATATCGGGGTCACTCGCGGGTCATGAGCCATGCATACACGTGTTTGTTACGGAGGTAATAAAAATCACCCGCTGCAGCGTGAATGGGTACATGATATTTATCCCGCTGCTGCAGCGGGATAACTTTTCTACTGTGAATGCATTTGTAGCGGTGTTATGGCGGTGTCGCCGCTCCGCTACAACGCCGCTACAAATTTCAAAACCACTGTGAATGGGGTATAAGTCATATAAAACAGAAGGAAAACTTCAACCTGCCTTCTTCCATTATCTAACTATAGTCCAATCTTAAGTACAGCTTTGGGTTTCAATTTTAGTAGCATAGAATTTGACTCCCCCTTAGAAAAGAAAACTCCCACCTGTCTATTCATGGAATGTACTGGGTGCATAAAATGAATAATATACAAATATTTGTAAGTCACTTTTACAAAGCATTTGTGAATATATGCACTGCATGCAGGTTAAGTCACAATTGGATAATAAAACAATTAGACTTGTCAAGTTCAATATCCTGGCTCATTGTGGCTTAACTGAGTGCAGTGCATACATGTTATCGCTCATGCACGAGCTTCATAACATGAACTATTCATTTTATAAATCATCATCACATAAACTAAAGCACAAAACAAAGGATGCAATTAATATCTTAAGGTAGAGTACACGTGCCACTTACATGTACATGTTCTATGGGAGGATGCTACACTTACATGTATTGTGATTTAAGGGCAGGGTTGAGAAAGAGGTGAGTATTAAGATCAAAAAGTTACCAACGGATGTTAAAGATGAAAGGAGATTTAAAGGTAAAGATTAGTTTTGGAAACGCCCCCCTCTCAAACAATGAAATGGAAGCTCTTATTACCAAACATGTGAAAGAATATGTTTTGACTAATTACGTGATGATACAAATTTTGCAGAGAAACTGCCTACTGATTGATATATTTGGACCTGATAGATATCGTGCACGTGTTGTGTAGTCCCATATACATCTTTATGTGTACAGTGCTTGTAACTCTACCAAGACTGGGCCAAATTTCTTATCATTTTGATGATTCCAGAACCTTGCAGTAACACCCAATACCGGTACTTATATGCTAGATGATCAACCTTTCTAATCGATTCCACAACGTTTCTTTCACAATGCAATCACATGACCATAACTGGTCTTTGTCTAGCTTTAAAGCTTACCGAATTTTCTACCTCAGCACTCTGTATAACGCCCCACTGGAAATCATCCATCAGCTGAAGAGAGTAGGTCAATGATAAACCAACCAGAGATGAGTTCAACTCTAATACTACAAAAGAGATAAGAAGAGAATATATTAGTATATGTGCATTATACAATATGATAAACACTCCATTCAATTTATAAGTCATGGACACACACAAAAATACAATTGGCATAAAAAAGAATTCTCTGGCTATTTCCCTAAAAATACAAGAATCCCCCCTGAGAAAATAAAAATATATGTAAGACATGAAGACAAATAACTTAAAGCCCCACTGTACTACTTATGGCTACTTGCTCCTTCTATACAGTGCGTCCCAGAAAAAACGAAACCGAGAATTATCAATGTTTTATCATAACTTAATCACATTTATATTTAATAAATGACACATATTTGGAAATTTGAAATCCTCCTCTTCATTTGATGCAACTTATTATGATTCATATTTCACGCATGAGTGTTAAAATCAATTTGAGGAGAGGGAACCGAAA